CGCAGCGGGGGACTTGAGTGAGCCGGGGCCAGAAAAGGTGGAGCCGGCGTGGGAAGGGGTGGTGCGCTGAGCGAGGGAAAGGGCGACGTTGGAGTAAAGCGAAAACAATCAAATAAAATCGATACGTAAAATCAAGAGAAGACTCTATTTGGAGTATGTAGGTTTCTGTCTCTCGAGTGTCTGGCACCAAGAACCGTGCGCCCACCCAGGGGAGCGCTCCCTGGCTGGCTCCGCAGGTTTCGGGACCGGAGAGCTGCTAGAAGCTGAACCTCCTCCTTCAGCCGCCGAGCCTTCACCTTCTGCGCCTCCTCCATGGCCTCCCGGAGCCCCGCTGTCGCGGTCTCCCTGACAGCTCTCCTTTGTTGACATTGAAAGTTGCTGACACTTAGGTCCAGCGGTTATCACGGAAGCGAGGCGGGACGAGTATCTTCAGCCCTTCCCCGGTGGCTTTTATAGCCCTGTGTCATCATATTTAAAAAAAACAAACAACATGTCTTACCCTTCTCAAAATGCAGGGGAGCCAAACTGTGCCGCAGTTATGACATCGGGCACCCAATCAAATAAATGGCCACTGAAATACGTAATCCCCGCAGAGCAAGATTTGCAGAAAGCCGGAGGGGCTCTGGGCATGCACAAATGGTGCGTGCCAAACTGTGCAAATGACTGAAATCTTAATTCAGAGTTTGATCATGGTTTAAATCTTACAGTTCGAAGATGAAAATGCACTCCTAAGAATTTCGCCTTGAGCTTTATATTCAAATAATGGAATATGAAGGAACAATAAATTGACTATTCAAACGCTTGTGGTTGGAAAGCTTGCAGAATAGAAGAAACTGGAGTGTTAGACACGGAATCTAGGACACGCCCACAAAGCCCCCGTGTGTTGAGATAAATTGAATTCAGTTGTGCAAGTGACAGAGCTGAGCTCTCTTACAAAGGGTCACCAAGCAACTTAGAAGTGCTTGTTTTATCTTTTTTAAAAGACAGGGAAAATCCTCTTCTGTTTACACATTTGATATTGTTAGGAACCTTGAAAACATGAGATAGATGAGCTATTAAAAAGCTTGAGATGAAACAAAAATGATGCCTGGAAATGGAGGTGTCTCTAGCTAAGGCAGTGGTTCTCAACCTGTGGGTCGCGACCCCTTTGGGGCCAAATGACCCCTTCGTGGGGTTCCCCCGATTCATAATAATAGCAAAATTATGAAGTAGACAAAGAAAATAATTTCATGGTTAGTGGCCACCACAACATGAGGAGCTGCATTAGGACGGTTGAGAACCACAGATCTGAGGGATCGATGCTTTGCATAAGGCACAGACCTGTGCCATGCAGCCAGTGGATGCTCCACAAGTGCTGGTTAAAGGCACGAGTGGTCATTGTTTCCTCAAAGCACAAATTATCTGGCAACAACACTTTGCAAAATGAGCGGGCAATGGCTTATGCTAGTGGTTAGCTGCAAGCCTCAAGCCCAAGTCTACTGCCTTCTTTCTCTTCACCACACCTTCTTCACCCATTACCCACCGAGATGTCCAGTCCAGTCTGGGAACTAGATCTGCTCCTTCCATATTGGCATGGCAATGGCCAAGCAGCCACCACAGACTCGGGTTCTTGTTCCCGCAGGGAAGCCTCCTTACAGATGATTCTCCCACCCTGGGGGCTTAGTGTAAAATGTTTGCAAGCACTGCTGCTCTGTGGGGAAAAGATGAGGCTTTCTACCCCCCCTAAAGAGTTTTAGTCTCAAAAACCCACAGAGCCAGTTCTACTCTGTGCTATAGGGTCACTATGAGTCAGAATGGACTCTGTGGCAGTGAGCTGAATTGGCGATTATGAAAACGTCATCCTTTCATCTGCTCAGTTCAAAACACCATGGAATCGTGTGTCTCCTGTCCTCTCACACCTCACATTCAGACCAAGCCGTCAGTTCTCCCTTCGAACTATTCACAAAATCCAGCCATATCTCAACACAACCCTGCCCCAGATCTCCTTCTTCTTCTGGATTGCAACGACTCCTCATCGGTCTCTCTGTTTCTGCTATTGCCCCCTTATCCTCTATTTGCAACCAGACTGATGCTATCAGTGGGAAAGAATAGCTTATCATCCTGCAATGGCTTCCCATCTCAACGTAAATTCTAAGGTGATTGCCTTATGGCCTCTAAGGCTCTGTCCCGTTGTATAGAATTGCAGGTTCAGAGATGTATATGAACATTGCACCTTGCAATGAGCAGAACAAACCTACACAGCCATTCTGGACAACAGCCAGCCAGCTTTAGCGCATCAGCACAAGCACCACCTCTCTGGCCGCATCTCCCACCACTTGCATCCACCATCTTTTGTACGACCACCTGGGCCTTGCTCACCTTCACACATGCCAAGCCTACTCTTTTTTTTTTTTTCTTTTTTAACATTTTATTAGGGGCTCATACAACTGTTATCGCAATCCATACACACATCAATTGTGTAAAGCGCATTTGTACATCGTTTCTCAAAACATTTTCTCTCCACTTAAACCCCCAACATTAGGTCCTCATTTTTCCCCTCCCTCCCCGCTCCCCCCTCCCGCATGAACCCTTGATAGTTTATAAATGGGTATTTTGTCATATCTTGCCCTGTCCGACGTCTCCCTTCAGCCACTTTTTGGTTGTCTGTCCCCCAGGGAGGAGGTCACACACAGTTCCATGTAATCGGTTCCCTCTTTCCTACCCATTCTCCCTTCACCCTCCCTGTTTTGCCACTCACACCACTGGTCCTATAGGGCTCATCCGCCCTGGATTCCCTGTATTTTCAGTTCCTATCTGTACCAGTGTACATCCTCTGGTCTAGCCAGTCTTGCAAGATAGAATTCGAGTCATGGTAGTGGGAGCGGGGAGGAAACCTTTAGGAACTAGAGGAAGGTTGTATTTCTCATCATTGTTACATCGCACCCTGACTGGCTCATCTCCTCCCCGAGACCCCTCTGCAAGGGGATCTCCAGTGGCCTACTAATGGGCTTTGGATCTCCACTCCGCACTCCCCCCATCATTCACTATGGTAAGATTTTTTGTTCTGATGATGCCTTAACACCTGATCCCTTCGACACCTCATGGTTGCATAGGCTGGTGTGCTTCTTTCATGTGGGGCCAAGCCTACTCTTGGACAGGATACTTTACTTGGTATTCTCTCTCCAGAAATGTTCTTCCACATACATCTGCAATACTCGCTTCCCATCCTCCTTTGGGTCTTTGCTCCAAGGTCACATTGTCAGAAGATTTCTTTCCTGAACACCCTATCTCCAGCTCCACTTACTCTCTATCCTTGATTTAACTTTTTTCTTGTATTTATCGTCACAATAGATATCCTGCATTTGTTTATGTATTTATTATCCTATCTCCCATTCCTGCATCACGCCTTTATAATGGCAGTGAATTTGCTTATTTTCTTTACTTTTGATCCCCCTGCTGTAGAATGGTTCTAGGCATGTGATAGACAATCAAGAGCTATATGCAGGAGCATGTGCACAGGTACAGGTAAGAGATAAGAGCTATGACACACAGAATCCAGGAACAGGAATGGGAGTAGCAATAACAGGAGGGTACAGGGAAAGAGGGGAAGGGAGGAGAGGAGAGCCGATTGCAATGATCGACACATAATCACACATTCGCACACACTCTCCAGGGGGACGAATAACAGAAACCATGAGAAAAGGGGAACAGCAGTGGGTGTAAGATATGAAAATAATGATCATTTATAATTTATCAAGGGGTCATGGGGGTGGGGAAAGAAGCTGATACCAAGGGCTCAATAGAAAGTAACATATGTACCAATATGCTTGACACAATTGATGTATGGATTGTTGTAAGAGCTCTAAGAGCCCCAAATAAAATGATCTTTTAATTTAAAAAAGGAAAGAACAATATGCCGGTGAGTCTAAAAGTATTGCTACAAAATCATAGAACATGTCTGTGCCACTTACATAATCTTCTGTCAACTTGAGTGAAGGGGTGGGATCTATCCTGTCAATCAGGTTATAGTCAAGGAGGCCTCTGTATAGGCATGGCCTTTTCCTGAGAATTCTGGGAGCTCCTGTCTTCCTTTCTGGAGGCTGGACCCACACTCTCTGCTACACATTCCTGTTGACAATCCACATGGAGACACTCTGATGGGGCCAGAACCCTGGAGCTGGAGGAGCCACATGAAGACCCACACCAGCACTGAGATGCTCCCACTGCCACTGGATCTACAACACTTTCCATTCACT